GTTAAATGTAACACATAACATTAATTGTCCATTATTTTTTTTTTTCATCTTAAATATTTATATTAAACATCGTAAAATACGGGGATGAAATACGTTTTTGGAATACAAGGATAGAATACAAAGATGAAAAACGGAGGAGGATCTATACCGAGATCCTCAGACAGAGAGGCGAAGCCTAAACACCATAAAACCAAAGTATTACATTACTAGGAACCAACAAACTAAAGCGAAAGATTATCGATCCAAACAAACCAACTCAAAACCCCAACAAAGCCAAGAGTRTTCCTTCCCARGAACTCRTCAAACGTAGTACCACTYCTTCGAATCACAACGTCGATAAAGGTGACAAGGAGCTGCACGCATACTCGAGACAAACCAATCACGAGTCCAAAGCTAAGACCAACTAAGAGTGACAAAAGCCAATGTTTCACCAGGATGAAGAGATAATCCCGAGCAAGTGTAGACCCCAAACATATCCAAGTTCTTCATATTGATACACAACCCGTACCCGAAAGCAAAGAATTGGTATGCGTATGCAAAACGCCAATAGAAGAAATATTCACAACGGATAAGTAGGGAACTAAGCAGCAAGGTGAGGAAAAACATCCTCGAGAACCTCTCCTTCATCAGATTAGAGTCACCCGTAAACGAACCCTTAATCAAACAGCACCAAAAAATCACCTCAAGCAGGAACACGATATGAACAAATGCATAGACTCATCAACTAAGCCGGAAGAGAGAAAGAGCTTAAACTAACAATCATGAACTTTAGAATGAAACGGGAATCTCCGAGCAAGCCGAGACCAAAAGCGAGCCATTTTCAACAAAGCGAACACGCCTAACCCGGGTCAGACCCACCACGAAGACCTAAAACTAACCTGACCATCGACGATAAGCTTGTTACTCAAAATAAGAAAGACAAACCAGGGAAAGCAAAGGGGCGAGCACGAGACCAAGGAAGTCAGCCTCCCAGATCCACCCGCGTCTTCCACCCCACCCGGAGAGATCTCTCACCCTAGCCGAGACCTTGACAAGTCGTAAACCCAGACTTGATCACACCGACCTCAAGCAACAGAGCAAATCAAGGGAACAAAACCGCCGATAGATCAGATCCGAGATAAAAACAAGCAAAGGAAAAAATTAAAGGGCATATTCCACGGATCCGGCTCCGGCGCTATGGAAGCCGCCGTCACCGGACCAGATGGTGAAAAATCCGAGTTTGGTACTGTTCACGGCAGATCTCACGGCGCAGACGAAATATATTTGTATGCTTAATTGTCCTTTAGTTTAAAAGCCCACAATTTGTAGGTCCACTCCAAAAAAAAAAAACTTGAAAAAAATATAATTATCTTGACTTGACCTAGCCACCACCGTTTCATCGATCATCACAATTCACAGTCCTCGTCTATTATTTTTGTTTTCTCTCGACAGTAAAGAGACAGAGCTTTACGTGCTACGGACCTACCGGCTACGGTAATTTTTGTTTTCAACTGATTTAGTTTAAAATTTATCTCTTTACACTGAATTTCTTAATTTCTTTTCAATTTCAATTCATTAATCCTATTGTTTCTATATTTAAACTGTCAAGTATGAACCGATTTAATTTTTTCTTTCTTTTTAGTTAATAGATTTTTGGGTACCAGTTTGATCTGGTTGTTATATATATAAATTTATTATATGAAACACCAATGGCTCTCTCCATGAGCTTGACACGTCAAATTACAAAAAGAGGCCACATGGCATTTTTATTTCATTAAAAAACCCTCTGACGACTCATCTTCCTTGACAGTTCCGGCTTCAAGTCCAATATATAAGGTATTTAATTTCTTTCTCTTCTTTGCATGTTCGACTCCAGAAACAACACGAACGAGTCATCGATGCATATGAGGCTGCTTCTGCATCAGATCTGCTTTTTGCGACAAATTACATTGGATATATGAAAGAAGCCAGAAAGAAAATCTGAAAAGTTGAATCATCAAGACTACCATAAACAGATTTATCATAGGAACGGTCACTTGGGTTCTCTCAAGTTCGACAATTTGGTTGATTCAGAAGCTTCTTGGGACAAGGTACACAATCAGTTGTTGCAATTAAGAGATCCAAATTTGGTTTCTTTACTCTACGTGGCTTACACTGATTTTGTAGCTTAATTGTATAGCTACGACTATAAGTACTTGTCATGGAAAAATGATGAGTACGTTTCCGTATTGGGGATTAGCTTAAATTCAATATATTGCACCTTTGTTAAGAGAGTGAAGCTATATTGCTGCTAGGTTTATTACATTGGATCAGGTAAGTGATTGGATTTCTCTGCGGATTGGTGTGGGTTACGACACCGGCATATGACTAATTTTTTAAGTTCTTCATCTCTCTTCTTACAAGTTTGGAGGCAAAGACTAACCTTGTAGAACAACGGTTTGGTGCACTGGGTCACAAAAAACCTCATTATCTTCTTGTCCACGGTATCTAAAAAAATATAGAAAAGTTAATTAAAGATGAAAAACCAAGATAAACATTATATAAATTGCAGAGCCTAACACTGAAGTAGAGAGGAGGCACGATACACTGAAGCAAGAATGTTCTCTTTTACTTATCAAAATCCAAGAACACAAGGTGTAGTGGTTTATTTAGCTTGGTATCGTATGATGTTATTCTGGTTTTGATGAAGCTAATAATTAAGGATTCCAAAGGAATAGGTTCAAGTCGTTGAGTTTCAATTATACTTTGTTAAAAATAACCAACTAACATCATTTTTTGTAAAACAAAAGATATCTAGCGATTATGTTTCTGTTTTCCTTAGGTCACCATGTTCCGCAGCCTGCGGAGGTTATTTACGAGATGAAGAAGAAGTTTACAAGAGACTCTTGCTTCAGTCTCAACGGTTTCATGGTATGCACTATGAAAGTAACACACTAACACTGTAACATCCCGGTTTCAAGAAATATGTAAGTAACACACTAACACTGTAACACCCTCGAAAACTATTACCCCCACATGATGCCCTAGCACCATATGTCACAACACTTGGTAGCAACTAGGCAAGTCCACCGCTTGCTAGCTTTTACCACACACACGTAACTAGGTAAGCCTCCCGGCTCACTAGTCTTCAGCACACACTCGTAACTAGGCAAGCCCACTGCTACCTCCTAGTTACCACTTCTTAGTAATATGAAGGTGTCCCACCAGAGACAGTCATAATACTACACACACACACACTTCTTGGCCTCAGGCCCACGTAGTTGTCCGACGGTGAACTTTCACCACTCTGACCACTCTGGTCCTCCCGTGCCAGCCCCCTTAGGGCTGCCAGGTCTTCTGCCACTTTTTCAGGCCAAACACAAACAAGTCGGCGACGGCTGCCCATATAACCGCCCTTATGCAATTATTAACAGTGGCATTGTGAACCTACTATTCTACCAATTTGTATGCATTTCTACTCTAGAATCTCCTAAGGTTCACAATCAATTTTCTATTCCATTTTAACGTAGTCCACTCATCTACGTTCTCAAGTAGTAGCCGAAGCATTTCAAGCAATACTTTTGTCCCGTATGGTCGGTCCCAGGTAAGCATGGCTATCCCATTACGTTACCCATGACACATCTATGGCCATACGGTAGCCGTCCCTGCAGAAATTCACACATAAGTTTATCCGTTAATTGTGGATAGCTCATGACACCAACTTGTATTGTGGACAGTCCAAGCAATACTATGTCCACCATCTATCCCCTTGGTTGAGAGCCATCTAACTCGAGTTCGTCAAACCTCTTTGACTCTTCTCTTGCTAGACCTTACTTACACCCATGTGACGGGTTAGCTAAGGTAGTACTAGCATAACCATTATGTTATCCTGGTAACTTCCTGCCTGGTTCACAACAACCTCTAATATACTGCCGGATCCTACAAACAAGCGAACCATCGGGTATAACTTACTTCCCTGGAGCGATAGTTCTACCATAGCTCTATTTCCAAGGTTTAACAATCAGTTAGTCTTTCTACCTTTCAGCTTCTTGGACTATCTTCTCA